ATGTGGGCAGCAGCAGCAGCAGCAGCAAAATCCTTCCTTTAGCTTCTTAATAAGTTTACATACACAAAATAAACAACATAATATATTATATCCCCTTTTCTGCTGCTACCACAGCTTGTGCTGCTGCTGCTGCAGCAGCAGCAGCAGCAGCAGCGGCAGACTGCGTGGGAGGCTCCAGCATGCAGCCCCCAGCAGCAGCAGCAGCAGCAGCAGCACGGTACACTTGCTGCATTAATAATATTATTTTTTTTAATTATTTATTTATTTGATTGATTTCATTGTGAAGAGATCGCAGCAGCAGCTGCAGCAGCAGCTGCAGCAGCAGCTGCAGCAGCCCTTCTGGTCCGTAACCGTGGTGGACTGAGCCCGTGTCTTGCTTGCTGCATCCAAGCAGCAGCAGCAGCAGCAGATGCAGCAGCAACAGCAGCAGCATCAGCAACACGATTTCCTAAAATTACGCGTATGAATTACACTGCAGCGGAGGCACCAGCAGCAACTGCAGCAGTCGCAGCAACCGAAGCAGAGGGAACCGCTGCAGCAGCAGCAGCGGCAGCAGCAGCAGCAGCAGCAGCAACTATTCTAGCAGCAGCATTAGATTATCCAATGCTGTCTGCTTATATGCAGATGAAAGGAATATTCAGATTTCTGCTGCTGCTTGCTACGTATACTGTGTTGCAGCAGCAGCAACAGCAACAGCAGCAGCTGCAACACACACAGCAGCAACAGCTCTTGCTGCTGAGCATAGCCTAAGCCCCTAGTTCCTTTCCTATTCAAGTATCAACTGGCCAGGTAGCAGTGCTGCTGCTGCTGCCCCCTCTGCTGCTGTTAAAGCGCACCAGCAGCAGCGGCAGCGGCAGCAGCAGCAGCCACAGCAGCAGCAGCAGCAGCAGCTCTCGTCCTGTACAATGTCTGAAGTGGACTTGGAGAGAGAACTGCAGCTGCGACAGCAGCGCATGCAGCAGCGGCGCGCCGCACAAGATCGGCTGCAGCAGCAGCAGCATCAGTTACAGCAACAGCAGCAGCAGCTGCAGCAGCAACAGCACGAACTGCAGCAGCAGCAGCAGCAGCTTCTTATTGAAGAAGCAGATCTTGTACGTAATAGCCCACAGGATATTTCTCTGTATGGAGAAGGCAGATTGGATGACCATCAGCACCTGCTGCTGCAGCAGCTGCAGCAGCAGCAGCAGCACACGTTGCAGCAGCAGCAGCAGCAGCAGCAGCGGCATGACAAGCTGCTGCGATCCAGCTGCAGCGACACCGATGCAAACATATCAGCAGCAGCTGTAGCAGCAGCGCATGCAGCTGCTGCTGTTGCAGCACGATTTTCCCATACGGAGAGGCTCTGCTGCCGCAGCAACAGCAGCAGCAGCAACAGCAGCAGCGGCAGCGCGAGCTACCGGCAGACCCATTCAAGCGGCAACTCACCCGTTGCAGCAGCAGCAGCAGCAGCAGCAGCAGCTGCTGCTGCTGCTGTACAGGCAGTAGAGGTGCCACGGCGCGCTCATTGCACAAGCAGCAACAGCAGCACAGCACCCCGTCATCATTTCACCCCGCAGCAGCAGCAGCATGAGCAGCAGCAGCAACAGCAGCAGCAACAGCAGCAGCAGCAGCTGCCGCCACAGCAACGGCAGCTTGTCTCCTGCTGCTGGCGAGACATTCCCTTTGAGCATCCACCAAAGTTTGTTTCCCCCCCTATGCCTAGCTCTACCGCTGCTGCTGCTGCTGCTGCTGCTGCTGCTGCTGCAGATGACCGGGCAGCAGCAGCAGGCGGTGCTTCGCAAGGCAGCACCGCAGCAGCAGCAGCAGCAGCAGATAGCATGAGGCAGCACTTTAGGCTGCCGCCCCTCCCTCGTGAGTTCACCTACGCAGCAGCAGCCCCCAACATAGAAGCAGCAGCAGCACCAGCAGCAGCCGCAGCAGCAGCAGCAGCAGGGAGGCACTTTTCTATAGAGAACGATTCTTCTGTTGTATCATCATCAGTAGCAACACCAATTGCCGCTAGACAAGCAGCAGCAGCAGCGGCAGCAACAGCAGCAGAAGCAGCAGCAGAAGCAGCAGCAGATGCGTACGTTGTTGCAGCAGAGGCAGCTGCTCTTTCAGCATCGGAAGCTGCTGATGCTGATGCTGCTGCTGCTGCTTTGCATGCTCAGCAGCAGCAGCAGCAGCAGCAGCAGGTGCTGCAGCATATGGAGCGCTGCCACCCATCCACCTTTCACCTGCAGCAGCAGCAGCAGCAGCAACAGCAAATGATGCAGCAAAGTGCGGGAGGGAGCGGGGATGCAGCAGCAGCAGCAGCAACAGCACCAGTATCTATAAGCAGGAAGGACGAAGGCAGCAGCTGCTGCTTCGACAGCCATTCCGATTCAACCTCTGCAGCAGCAGCTGCAGCAGCTGCTGCTGCTGCAGCTGCATCGTGTGCTGTAGTTGCACAGCCAATAAGGGCTCAGCTGCAGCAGCAAGACACCACTACCAGCAGCAGCAGCTGCAGCAGCAGCAGGATGCATACAGGTTTGAATATCTCTTCTACTTCCTCTTTTGTCTCTGCAGCAGGAGACACCACCCTCGGCTCCTCTGCATGCAGCAGCAGCAGGACTGCTGCTGCACTATGGGCTATGCACAGCAGCAGCAGCAGCAGCAGCAGCAGCAGCAGCAGCAGCAGCAAAGCGTTCGACTACGGTGCCCTCCGCAGCAGCATCCGCAGCATTCGCGACAGCTTTACAGTCCTCCCCGCAGCAGCAGCAGCAGCAGCAGCAACACATAGATCCGCATCAGCTGCTGCACCAGGGACAGCGACAACAACCACCAGCAGCAACAACAACAACAGCAGCAGCAGCAGCAGCAGCAGCATTTGCAAGCAGCAAATGAAGCCGCAGACCGACTCTGTTGCTTCTACTACCTGCGGTTGGAGCAGCAGCAGAAGTCTGTCTACTCAGGGGACTGCTGCTGGGCCTGCTACACTTGCAGCAGCAGCAGCAGCGGCTGCTGCTGCTGCTGGCAGCAGCAGAAGCAGCAGCAGCAGCAGCTGCAGCAGCAGGGGATTCACGCCCATACCTTCTGCCTCGCCTTCAGGCGGCTGCATGCAGCCTTTTCGTCAGCCCTTCCTGCCGCGGCTGGGGCAGCAGCAGGAAACGGCAGCAGCAGCAGCAGCAGCAGCACCTGCTGCTGCTGCGCCAGCAGCTCCTGAGGTGCAGCAACCTGCAAGTAGTCGTGTGGAAGATGCTAGCCGTTTCGAGCAGCAGCAGCTGGTGCAGCAGCTGCAGCAAAGAGTGCAGCAGCAGCAGCTGCAGCTACAACAGCAGCAACAGCTACTGCAACAGCAGCAGCAGCAACTGCAGCAGCAGCAGCACGAGCTGGATAGACACCGGCAGCAAGAAGTTGCGTTGCATTCCCTGCAAGAGGAGCTCAGGCAGCACAAGATGCTGCTGCGGCAGCAAGAGTTGCTGCTGCAGCAGGAGCAGCAGCAGCATGAAGAAGCCATTGCTGTACGTACACCTAGTTGCTTCTATGCCTTCATACTGATGCGTGCTGCTGCTTCTGCTGCTGCTGCTGCTGCCTTTTCTGCTACTTCTGGCACCTTTGTTGCTGCTGCGTCCTTTGTTGCTGCTGCTTCCGTTGCTGCTGCTGTTGGTTTTGCTGATTTTGCTGCTGCTGTTGTCTAGAGGTATGCTGTGCTGCTGCTCCCTTCCTGCTTCGCGTTTGTTGCAATACAGCCTTTTGCTGCTGCTGCTGCTGCTGCTGCTTCTGTTGCTGTTGCTGCTGCTGCAGGCGAATGCTGCAGAGGCCCAGGCCTTAAGAGACGAGCTGCTGTCGCTGCAGCAGCGGGAGAACGAGACGCTGCAGCTGCGGCGAGAGCGGCAGCTGCTGCAGGAAGGGCAGCAGCAGCAGCAGCTGTTGCTGCTGCAGGAGCGCCGTCGTATAGAGGCCCTTGAAGGGCAATTAAAGGAGAAGGAGCATCGATTGCAGCAACAGCAGCAGCAAATGCAGCAGCAGCAGCAGGAGCTGCGGCAGCAGCAAGAGATGTTCGATGCTTATCTACTAGAACAAACTGCTGCTGCTGCTGCTGCTGCTCGCCGCATCTGCGTAAGGGACTCCCAGGGTCTATGGTCTTCCCGCTGCGGCTGCGACAGTTGTGCATGCGTTATGCAGGAGCAGCAAGCTGCAGCAGCAGAAGCAGCAGCAGCAGCAGCAGAAAGTGCTGCTGCTGCTGCTGCTCCGGAGGCCCCTGACTCGCTGCAGCTGTCCCTCTGTGCTGATGCACACAGCAGCAACAGCGGCAGCAACTGCTGCCTGCACACCAGTCCTACGTCACGGCAGCAGCAGCAGCAAGTGCACCAGCAGCAAATGCAGCAGCAGCAGCATAAGCAGCATGTTGGTGCTTTTCAGGATCCTCAGCTGCTGCTGCAGCAGACCCGCCACGAGTTGCTGCGGCGGTCGAGCCCCACATCCAGAGACCCGCAGGACCAGCAGCAGCAGCAGCAGCAACAGGAGCAGCACGGTGAGCAGCAAGGGACGGGCCTCGAAGGGATTTGCCGTAGGCTGCAGGAGTACCGCCAGCAGCAGCAGCAGCAGCAACAACAAGAAAAGGGGCTCCGTCAGTCCCCTATTGCTGCTGCTGCTGCAGGACTCTTCCGGACTGCAGCACCAACAGATGCACCAAAGCCTGCTGCTTTTGCTGCACCAGGAAGAGCAGCAGCAGAAGCAGCAGCAGCAGCTCCTGATGTTGGCATGTTGAGCGCCGCTGCTGGGTTGCAGCAGCTATCCATTAGGCAGCAAAAACAGCAGCAGCAGCAGCAGCAGCTATCCATTAGGCAGCGAAAACAGCAGCAGCAGCACCAGCTGGAGACACATCACGTACACATAGGCAGCAGCAGACGGACGCTTCTGGGCAGTGCAGCAACAGCAGCAGCAGCAACTGCAGCAGCAGCAGCAGCAGCAGCAGCTGGTGCTGCTGAGACTCGGCCCTCTTTGCTATTGTTCGTTTCCTCAGACAGCAGCGAAGACGAACAGCAGCAGCAGCAGCAACAGCAGCAGCAGCGCTGGTCCCCACCTCTAGCACGTCGTGTTGCAGCAGATAGTGCTGCTGCTGCCGCTGCTGCTGCTGCTGCAGTGTCAGCAGCAAAGTCCCTCCAAGGGAGACCGCGTTGTTTGCTGCTGTCTTCTGACGAAGAGGAAGACATGACAACAGCCACGTCGGTGCTGCCAAAGCAGCAGCAGCAGCAGCAGCAGCAGCGGGAGCAGCAAGCGAGCCGTTCAAGCAAAGGGGAGAGGCGGGGGTATTCTGCTGCCACTCGGAGTGATAGCAGCAGCAGCAGCAGTAGCAGCGAGGCATCTGCTGCTGCTGATGATGCTGCTGCTGCTGCTGCTGCACCTCTTGCTGCAGCAGAGAGACACTACTACTTAACTCTCGGCAGACTACGACAAGAGTATCGACTATCGCGGCAGTCGTTGCGCTAGCAGCAGCAGCAGCAGCAGCAGCAGCAGCAGATCCGTCCGTCCGCTGCAGCAACTGCAGCAGCAGCAGCAGCACCTGCTGTATTTATAGTTTGTTATCTTCCTTACAAGAGTTGTCTTTCCTGCTGACAGCAGCAAGACTGAGGGATCAGCTAGGTGCATGGCTAGCTAGCTAGCTAGCTAGCTAGCTGTATGACTAGCTAGCTAGCTGGCTTATTTAACTAGCTAGCTGTTTTCCTAGCTGTTTAGTTGACTAGCTGTTTAGCTAGCTAGATGCTTAGCTAGCAAGCTGTCTGGCTAGCTAGCTAGCTAGTTGGCTAGCTAGCTAGCTAGCTAGCTAGCTAGCTAGCGGTGGGAGCAAAAACGCGGGATGATCGGCAGTAGCCCCGAACCCTAAACCCTAAAGCTGAGGTACACATAGAAGTTGCTGCTGCTGCTGCAGCTGCTGCAGCAGCAGCAGCAGCAGCTGTTTAGGTTATTTAGACCGCTTGTGCGGAGTGTGTTTTGTGCTGCTGCTCCCTTAGCTGGTTGCTTGTTGACAGCAGCAGCAGCAGTAGACAGCAGCAGCAGCAACATTACGAATATAAACAGCAGCAGCGAATTTAGGGTAGCAGCAACACGAACACTTAGCAGCAGCAGCAGCACTAGAGACACAATCAGCAGCAGCAGCAATGAAGCCAGCAGCAGCAACACTACGTCAGCTGAGTGTCGCCTTGCTGCTGCATCAGCAAACAGGTAAGTGCTGCAGCAGCAGCAGCTACGATGGGCATGCAGCAGCGGCAGTTGTTGCTGCTGCTGCATGTGTTGTTGCTGTAGCTGCATACAGCCTTGATACAGCAGCTGCAGTAGCAGCAACCAGCAGTTGTGCTGCTGCTGCTGATGGCTGTTGTTGCTGCTGTATTTGTTGCAGAACCAGCAACAGCAACAGAGACCCCCATCTTATTGCTGCTGCTGGCTAGTGTTGCTGCTGCTGCTGCTGCCTCTAGGCAGCCTTAACAACTTAATAGCAATAAATAAAATTAATTAATTTGTTTATTTCAAGCATCTGACGAAGTGTAGCAGCAGACGCTGCAGCAGGCATGAGGCCCCAGCAGCAGGAGCAGCTGCTGCTGCAGCCGCAGCCGCGGAAGGAAGGAGCTGCTGCAACAACAGCAGCAAAACGGCTAGACAATTGGATGGCTGCTCCATTGTGACTTTTCTCTATTGCTAATTTGCTGCATTAGTGTACCCTTAATACGCCTTGGCTCTAGCAGTTGCTGCTGTTGCTGCTGCTGCTGCTGTCTACGGCAGCCTGCTGCGGCGGCGGCAGCAGCAACGTGCATTATTATTCTTCCTCGGTCCTCCAGCAGCAGTTGCAGCATCAGGGACACAATTACATTCTGTATACGCTGCTGTCAGCAGCAACTCATTTCGTGCTGCTCCTGGTCCCAGGTTATGGCGGCAGCAACAGCAGCAGCACCAGTAGCACCAGCAGCAGCAACAGCAGCAGCAACAGAAACCAGCGATGTTCGGCCATGACATTGTCTCGCTGAGCCCCACAGGAGCACACCAGCACTAGCTGAAGCTCCTTTGGGTGCCACTAGCAGCAGCAGCAGCAGCTGCAGCAGCAGCAACAGCAGCAGCTGCAACAGCAAGGAGGGGACAAGAGAAATCCCCCATCTGTGTAGGCATTTGTGCATGCTGCTGCTGTTGCTGTAAAGGCGAGCCGCTGCATTTGCTGCTGCAGTCATGGGCCCGCATGCAGTATCCTACAGCAGCAGCAATGGCGCGGGATGGAAGCTGCAGCAGCAGCAACGGCAAGGCCCAAAAGAGGGACGTGCGTTGCAAGGTTATCAGCAGCAGCAGCAGCAGAAGCAGCAGCAACAGCAGCAGGAGCAGTGCTATGAGTATCTCCAACAGCAACGATGCAGCAGCCCCGCCAATAGCAAACCTTATCAGCAGCAGCGACAGCAGCAGGAGCAGCAGCTGCTGCAGCAGCAGCTGCAGCAGCAGGAGTAGAGGACAGCTAAATAATAGGAGAAGGGTCCGCCGCAGCAGGAGTAGAGGAAGACTGTCTGCCAGAAGCCGAAGCAGCAGAAGCAGCAGCAGCAAACGCAGCAGCAGCAGCAACAGCAGCAGCAGCAGTAGTAGTAGTAGACGCAACAAGAAAAACAGGAGCCGAAGCAAGAGCTGCAGCAAGACAAGATGCAGCAACAGCAGCAGCAGCAGCAGCAGCAATTGCATGCGTCTTTCTAAACGCCGGGTCTACAATAGTGGCAGCAGCAGCTGCAACCGCCACAGCCAACAGCAGCAGCAGCAGCAGCAGCAGCAGCAGCAGCAGCAGCAGCAGCAGCAAATATGGGAGATATCCGATTCTGCTGCTGCTTCATTCTCTCCCAAGGTTAAACAGATTGTGCTGCGCCTCCCTCGAGCAGCAGCAGCAGCAGCAGGAGCAGCAGCAGCAGCAGGAGCAGCAGCAGCAGCAGGAGCAGGAGGAGGAGGAGGAGGATCCCTTCCCCCTCATTATCACCCATCATTCTCATCGTCATCATCAGCATCATCAACATCAGCAACAGCAGCAACAGCAGCAGCAACAGCAGCAGCAGCAGCAGCAGCAGCAGCAGAATATGAGGAAAAATGTATAGAATTACCTCATAGATTTGCTCGTAATGAGCGCCGATTAAATCGATTCATTTCTTCGCTGTTTAATTTACAGCAACAAATGTTCCTTAGTCTTATTACTCTACAAGGTAATTATGCTGCTGCTGCTGCTGCTGCTGCTGCTGCTGTTGGTGCTGCTGCTGCTGCTGTTGGTGCTGCTGCTGTTCGTGCTGCTGTTGGTGCTGTTGTTGGTGGTGTTGGTGGTGTTGTATTGCTGCTGTAGTGGTTAGAATATCAGTATCAGTCGCAAGAGCAGCAGCAGCAGCAGCAGCAGCAGCAGCAAGAGTAGCAATAACAGCATTAGCAGCATTAGCAGCAGCAGCAGCAACAGCAGCAGCAGCAGCAGCAGCAGCGCATGCATGTGATGTTGTGTTCAGGTTTTTCTTTGCCGTTGCATTGGGATGCATTAAAGACAGGCGAATGTTATTATATCGATATTCGCCCGCAGCAGCAGCCTGCTGCTGCTGCTGCTGCTCCTCCTGCTGCTGCTGCTCCTGCTGACACTGCGGGGAGCACGGATCATGATTCTGCTGCAGCAGCAGCACCATCAGCAGCAGCGCATGCTGTTCGGCGGCCACGGGCAGCAGCAGCAGTGGATGCAACGAATGGAGTAGCAGCAGCAGCTGCTGCTAAATTGGCCAACGGTAAGGCACCAGCAGCAGCAGCAGCAGCAGCAACAGGAGCGGCGGCAGCAGCAGCAGGCGCTGGAAGGAAGCCACAGCAGAATGGGGAAGTTGCTGAGCAGCAGCGCAGGCAGCAACAGCAGCAGCAGCAGCAGCAGCAGCAACAGTTATTAAGGGAGCAGGCGAAACAGGAGCAATTGCTGCAGCACAATTTAAAAAGGGAGCCAGAAGAGCAGCAAGAGAAGCAGCAGCAGCAGCAGCAGCAGCTGCTGCTGCAGCAGCGGCAGCGGCGGCAGCAGCAGCAGACCCCACTGGAAATTGCTGCCAGTGAGCAGCAGTACTCCCCAGCAATTGCGAGGGAGAATGATGTTGCTGCTGCTGCTACTCCTGCTGCTGCTACTCCCGCTGCTGCTACTGCTGCTACTACTACTACTGCTGCTGCTGCGCATGCTGCAGCAGACAGCATCGAGCCCGTCCATCGAGTTGCAGCATCTCCAGCAACCGGTGCAACAACAACAGCAGCAGCAGCAGCAACAGCAGCAACAACTTCAACAGCAGCAGCAGCAGCAGCACGTGCTGCTGCTGCTTCTCCTGCCGACCCGGTGTATCTGAAGGTCCAAGTGTCTAGGCAGGTTGTGTGGATGCGAGTTGGAAAACAGCCTGCTGCTGCTGCTGCTGCTGCTGCTGCTGCTGCTGCATCCCTGCCATCTAGCAGAAGCAGTAGCAGCAGCGGCAACAGCACGGATTTGGCTTATCGCAGGGCCTGCAGCAGGTGCAGGGGGATTTGCTGTTGCTGCTGCTGCTGCAGGCTGTGCCTGTCTGCTGCAGTGAAGCAGCAACAGCAGCAGCAGCTGCAGGGAGTAGCGCTGCTGCTGCAGTGGTTAGACGGTCAGGTAGGAGGCACCTCTTTGGTCTCCTTCTCCCCTGATGGCTCAGCAGCAACGCTGCAGCAGCAGCAGGAGCATGCAGCAGCAGCAGCAGCAGCAGCACAAGGCCAACGCCTGCAGCCGATGATGACGGCACCGCTTGCGTTGTATTTGCTGCGGGCGGTCTTCCATGGACCTCATGCAGCAGCAGCAGCAGCTGCTGCTGCTGCTGCTGCAGCAGCAAAGAGAAAAGGAGCAGCAGGGAAGGCATCCAAGAGTGCCAGAGGCAACAGCAGCGACAGCAGCGCAAAGAGCACCACCACCACCACCAGCAGCAACAGCAGCAGCAGCAAAGCAGCAGCAGCAGCAACTAATCAGGATTATGCTGCTGCCTTTGAAGAACTTCAAGCTTTTAGTCAATCCAATTGGCTGCGGCAGCTGCTGCAGTTCGTTCCCTCCAGCAGCAGCAGCAGCAGGAGCGATGGAGCGACAGCAAAGAAGAGTAGCAACAGCAGCAGCAGCAGCAGCAGCAGCAGCTTCTCTTTTACTGAGTTAGCTGCCTCTCATTTAGGTATGAGGGAGTTGCTGCTGCACTTCTTTGCGCGGGAGCTTGCCACAAGCCGCAGCCTCAGCAGCAATAGCAGCAGCAGCAGCAGCAGCAGCAGCATCGTTAGTTCCCCGGCCGCATCGCCACTCATATGCATGCGCGGTGTATCTGCTGCTCCAACTGCAGCAGTGTATAGCGAGGGCCTGGTTGTGCGCCGGCAGGAACTCCGTCGGTGCAGTTGTCCTGCTGCTGCTGCTGCTACTGCTGCTGCTGCTGCTGCTGCTGCTGCTGCACCGCTTGCAGCACTAGAGGAGTTTGAGGACGGAGCTGTCGATACACTCAAGGCGCTCTTAATGACTTTCTTAGAGGCACTAAGAACGTTGTTAGACCTTACCCGCAGCAGCAGCAGCAGCAGCAGCAGCAGCAACAGTAACTGCAGCAGCAGCAGCAGCAGCAGCAGTAATGTGGCGGAGATGGAAGCTGCTGCTAGGAGGGTAGAGGCAGCAGTTCCTGCTGCTGCTGTGCAGTTCTATGATGCCCTCTTGTGGCTAAGAGCAGCACAAAGTATGCGACGCCGCATGCGTCTGCTGCTGCAGCTGCTGCAGTCGCCACCTGCGGCCCCACAAACAGGAGCAACAGCAACAGCAGCAGCAGAAACTAAAGAGGAAACAGCAGCACCAGCAGCACCAGCAGCACCGGCAGCAGCAGCAGCAGCAGCAACCGTAAATAGTTCTCCCAGCAGCTGCCAGCAGCTGCTGCGGCGGCAAATGGAGAGGCGGGAGGGATTTGTGCGTTTTATGAAGGAAAGGAGACGTGGTGCATCTGCTGCTGCTGACGCAAGCAACAGCTGCAGCAGCAGCAGCAGCAGCAGCAGCAGCCACAGCAGGAGCAGCAGCAGGAGCGATAGCCTGTTGAACGATGCAGCAGCACTAGAAGGAGCCCGCATGGTGCTCTTGCTGCCGCAGCAGCAGCAGCAATTCAACTACAGCTGCTTGACTGCAGAACTGCAGCAGCTAAGTGCAACCATTAGCAACAGCAGCAGCAGCAGCAGCAGCAGCGACAGCAAGAAAAGGCCTGCGATGCAGCAGCTGCGGCTGTCCGTTAGCCCCACATGGGCTGCCTTAGAGGCATTGATGTCTTGGCTGCTGCTGCTGGCGCAGCAAGGAGAAGCAGCAGCAGCAGCAATGATTACCTCGTTGCAGCAGCAGCTGCAGGAGCTGCAGCAGCAGCAGCAGCAGCACCAGCTGCAGCATCAAGAAGAAGAAGACGTGCGAATGACGAGTGGGTCCACAGACAGAGATGAGGGCCAGCAGCAGCAACAGAAACAGCAGCAACAGCAGCAGCAACGGATGCTCCTGCAGCAACGACAGCAGCAGCAGCAGCAAAGAGCAGCACGAGATGTCGTTAACTGCTGCAGCAAAGTACGGCGGGCTGTTGAGCTGCTAATGAACAGCAACTGCAGCAGGAGCATGCGCGGGGACCTGCAGCAGCATTGCTGCTCCCCTCTCTTACAGCCGAGTCTGCAGCAGCAGCAGCAGCAACAGCAGCGGCAGCAGCAGCAGCAGGAAGCTACTGCTGCTCTAGCCAAAGTTGTCCTTCCTCAGCCGCCGCAGCAACTTGACAGCAGCAGCAGTGATAACGTATCTCCGGATGCAGCAACAACAGCAGCAACAGCAGCAGCAGGAGAAACTGCTGCTGCTGCTGCTGCTGCTGCTGCTGCATCGGAAGAGCTTGTTCGTCAGTTTATACAAGGCCACTGTCCCCTTCTACTGGTAGACGACTTAGCAGGGGCAGCAGCAGCTGTGCGTCGTGTAGCTGCACAGAGCAGCAGCAGCAGCAGCAACAGCAACAGCAACGGCAACAGCAACGGCAACAGCAACAGCTACAACGGCAGCAGCAGCAGCGGGAAGCTACAGCGGACGTCTAACGTCTTGGTGCTGCTGCCTTTTGCGCCTGCAGCAAGCTGTGGGGCCCTGCTGCTAGCTGAGCAGCTAAACAGTTTCTGTGGGGAGCTGAGGGATTTGCTGCAGCAGCAGCAGCAGCTGCAGCAGCAGCAACTCTCTCTACTGCAGCAGCTGCAGCAGCAGCAAAGGCGTACCCAAGGACCCACTGTGCGCACATCTGTGTGCCTCTGTCTCCCACCTCCAGTCCGCAGCGCCACCGACAGCAGCAACAGCAGCAACAGCAGCAGCAACAGCAGCAGCAGCAGCAGCGACAGGGAGTGCTGCATGCGTTGCTGCACCTCCCTTGCAGAAGCAGCAGCAGCAAGAGTCGTAGAGGGCCGTCTAAGAGGTTACAGCAGCAAACATCGTGATGGGGGCAGCAGCAGCAGCAGCAGCAGCAGCACCGACAGTAATAGTAACAGCAGACCAG